GAAGAGCAAGCAAAGCAGTACAAGCTCAGGGTGGATCACAATGTCACCACACATTCTGAGCACAAGTTTAAGAAGCAATAGTTTAAAGTTCACAATTATGAGCAAAGCTAGTGGTAGTCACAACGGGGAAGTGAGGAGGAGGAGGGCTGGCGAGAGGAGAGTAGATGGGAGGCGACGACTGAAGCTGCAGTCACACGGGCAACAGACGGCTCTGGTGCGACACAGTGGCTACCGGGAGTGAGTGCCCCGGAGTACAGGAGTAACAGGCTCCGCGGCTAAGACGAGCAGCAGGAGCAACGGACCCACAGGCGACGGCGCAACCGGCTCTCTGAGCTACCGGGAGTGAGTGCCCCGGAGTACAGGCGCTGCGTACGACACGACGGCAACCTCCCCTCAACCTCCCCCAACAGTCCCACATCCCTCGACACACACCCGCTGCTACACCGCTAGCTCCACTCCCCCTTCACCCCCCCTTAGTACCACTCCGACGGCTCCAACAGGTCCACCCCCCTCAGCGGCAGCTGCAGCACAGGGAGACGGAGGAGGAGGAGGAGCAGGGAACGGCACACAGAAGCTGCACCCCCATACCCCCCAACCCCAAACCCTAATCCAGGAGAACGGGCAGAAGGAGGGGTGGGGCGCCTTCAGAAGCACGGGGGACAGCGGGGAGGACAGGGGCAGCGAAGAACGGGGCGCCCACGGGCCTGGCACAGCCTCCCGAACCGCGCGCAGGCGGTCCGAGCCGCGCGCGGGACTGGCGCAGCCCGTACGGGCCGCGCGCGGGCCTGGCGCAGCCCGTACGGGCCGCGCGCAGGCCTGGCGCAGCCCGTACGGGCCGCGCGCAGGCCTGGCGCAGCCCGTACGGGCCGCGCGCCGGGTGTACGGGCCGCGCGCAGGCCACGACGGGCGACGGGGGGCGACGCGCGGGTCCCCGTCGCCCGTCGCAGCGCCTCCCGGGGGCGACGTGCCGAGTGACGGGGCAGGAACCCGTCGCGCGCCTCGGGGCACACGGCGGGCAGAGAACCGCCGCGCGCCTCGGGGCGCACGGCGGGCAGAAAACCGCCGCGCGCCTCGGGGCGCACGGCGGGCTGAAAACCCTAGTTTCGACGCCGCGCACCACGGGGCGCGCGGCGGACAGGGAGTAGCAGTAGCAGCGGAAGCAGTGAAGTGGGCCCACAGGCCAGGAACGTTAAGCTCTGATGCCATGTTGAGATAAGCGGTAGTCTTAGGAGCCATAGCTAGGAGAGTCCTAGCTAGGCAAGAGAGTTTAGGCGAAAGAGGGGGGTTGCACTAGCAAGAATGGGGATACAAATAGCAAACCCTAGAAGGGTTGTACTCGCTACAGAGCACCCCACTATAGGCTAGAGCATAATATTCTGACACCCCAATCATCAGCGCTTTTGTACTTTGTTAGGCCTTGTGCCTACGTTTCCACACTTGTTGTAGTCTTTGTGTGTACTGTGCTCTATATTTATACCTGCATGCTTGCTCTTGCTAGGTATTGATCACTGTACTATTCTTGTTGCATATATATATCTCTGCATGTGGACTGGCCTTGTGGCCCTTTGCTTGTGCTCAGTTTGTGTGGTGACGTTGTGATCCACCCTGAGCTTGTTTTGCGTTTCTTGACTGGTCTTGTGACCCCTTGTTCTCCCCCACTTTGCCTATGGGGGTGTGTCAAACTGTATATGTTATATACTTGTGTAGGCTGTAGTGGGGTAGCCCACAAAGGGTACAACCCAATGTTAGGGTTAGTATATGTACCCAACTCTGTTTCAATTCAAGCCATTCCTGCCTAGTATTCTAACACAAAGCGTTTTGAGTTCGAACTTTGACAAATTTCCAAATACCACACGCGCCGTATACTGGCCAAGAAGGAAGCACGAACAAATTTGGGAAACGTTTCACGAAATGTTATTATATAGGCGGCCACAAACATGGGCTTGTTATCACAAAAAGTCTCTCGGCCAACGCAAACGGTTAAATAATCTAGAGAGCTATCATGGATGGGCACAAAATTCTGGATTCTATTACGGATAGTCACAAGCTGTCTCACAAATTTATCACGTTTCGTCGCAAGACGAAAAATGCGGTGTATAAGCTGTAACGACCTTAAACTGTTGATGGCCAGTTAACTAAGCGACGGGTTTTGTCATATTTCCGTAGTCTGGTTATTTCTGTAGCAAATCGCGGAGGCGAAGGTTACAAGAAATTACATGCTTAGAATTAAAGAATTAAACTAAAACTCATTCAGATGGCATGCCATCAGAGGGGCATCAACCGTAAACACCATACGACAAGGTGTTTAGGGTTGATATCGAAAGTCCACAGGTGTCATTTTCTGAAATATTTTTTTTTTCGGACGGTTTAAAGTTTGCAACAAATGATTGATTATGCTCTTTTTAGCAGGCTATGTCATTTTTTTCTCGGTTTAAAATGCATTGGTTCGCGACTCGCTGCGGATGTAAATAAGTTGCGAGAATAAGACAATTTTTCTCAGCTGTAAATGAGTTGGCGAAAGTGGTCGGAAACTTATTTCGGAGGTGACAGTTTTTTTTTTTTTTTTTTTCGCGCGCGAGATAAATTTCCCCGACTCTCTACAGTTAATGGTGTGATTTCAACTTTTCTTTGAGCGTTTCATTGTGTGACCATACGCGATAGTCGTGGGGCAATGTTGTGACTATCCATGATAGAATGGTACACCCTCGTTTTCAACATTCTCACCTTGCGCGATTCGAAACTACAGTGCTCGGACCTAGCGCGCCGGTGATGGTAACCGATTTTGCAGGCAAAGCTGTACCTAACGACAAACCAGCCACAAGCTGATCAAGGTCAAGCAGAAACGGAACAGTGCATACGACAGCTGTTTCGGTAATTCTACTTATCAGCCGCCACTGTCACAAATCTGATCACTCGTGCCAGCAAATTTCATCCGATCTTGTGAAATCGAGACAGTTTGGCAACCATAAACCAGTTCCCTGCTGACAAATTCGCCACCTGAGCATTCTACACTCTGTCATCATTATCGAGACAACCGGCTAATTTTCCACAACCAGATGTTCTTGTACTATATGTGATAGCACCATTATGAACGTTGTGGAGTTCTACAACCGGCTAATTTTCCACAACCAGATGTTCTGCTAGCGCAAAAGAAGGTGTAGCATGACGAGAACCAGTGAACTGCAAATCCAGGAATTGAGGACAGGTCACCTCTAGCACCCTTCCTGCGATCGACCCAGAGTCGATTTTGGAGGATTTCAAAACGGTGCTACCAGCGGAAAATACAGGTCACAGGTTTTCAGTACGGTGAATTCACCAAACCTGCGATTGATCTTGCAGAACGACTAGAGGTGACGCACCTTGAAGCTTTGAGTGTGTTGGGCCGTGGTATGCTTCGTGGCTCAGGACGGTTCGACACGGTATGCTACGATCAGAAGTTGACCGTCACCAGGATCTACTCGGAAAGGTTCGCACGCAGTAAGGTAGTGTTGGTGGGCCCTTGTGTCAGAGGTCCACTGGTGATCCCCGATTGATCCTAGGGAAGGGTTACAGGCATGGCGGCCTGGGGGGTTATGGGCGCACTCACCCGCTACACAAACAAGCCCTTTTATCCCAGTGGTTAGTGGCTGAGATTCTGACATGGTATCAGAGCGAAGGTCTCGGGTTCGAATCCCGGTGTGTGCACCTCGGGCATCCCAGTGCGGGGGGGTGTCAGAGGTCCACTGGTGATCCCCGATTGATCCTAGGGAAGGGTTACAGGCATGGCGGCCTGGGGGGTTATGGGCGCACTCACCCGCTACACAAACAAGCCCTTTTATCCCAGTGGTTAGTGGTTGGGATTCTGACACCTTGACCTCAATAGCAGAGTGAATGTAAAATGCTTGAGATGATTAAAACATGCAAATACAACGATATAAATAAGAGTACAGGGGAATACGAAACGACCTAGCTAGCCATGTACTCTAAGGGGTACATTCCCTTATTCAAATTCATTCCCAACCGTGCGGCGCGTACAGTTACGAAAACTGTTCCCGCCAAAGCCATCCTGCCTGCAGCTGTCCGATGCCGTCTGCTCCGACGGTCCAGATGTGTTGTAACTGTCTAGTGCTTCGAGTCAATTCTTAACCGTCTGACTCTTCGCGTTCGTTCTCGATACTGCATGCTTCTCTTTGCTGCGGTGAGGAGCGGACAGTAACATTCGGGTATTACTATTCGTAACACGGTGCAAAGCGGTTTTTAAGCTATGTACCCAAATTATTTAGGGCGACGGAGGGATGATACACTTCAAAATTAGGCTTTTCAAAGCTAGATTTGCAGTTGGAGCAAGCCCCTCGTTGTAAGGAAATATGCCTTTTATTATAAATATGCTGTTGGTGATTGGGCTTTTGGTTTATAAATTGGAAACGATTTTACATAAATGGAATAATGAGTCAGAGTACACGTTGATATGAGTGCCTTCAGTGGTAGTGACGACTGGTTAGTCAAAATCGTGAGAGGCTTCAAACGAGGGTTTATAAACTGTACGGAATTTGCATACTTGAGCCCGTCAGGTTCCCAAAAACACGGGTGGTGATGATTTTGACCAGAAAAAAGACACTATTTACCATCTTTCACCTGTTGTTGATTAGTCCATCAGGCAACCTTTCACCTGTGGCTGATTAGGCAATGTTAGGCGTTTCCTGCTGCAGTTGCTGACCAAGCGGTGTCAGATCTCCGCGAATCCCGCTGTCTTGTACTGAGCGGCGCGCGTCGAGCTATTAGTCGTGGAAACATGGCGGAAAGGCGTCGAGCGGGAGGGGTGAGTCGTAGCTATTCAAGCCAATACTACTTGTACTACTGAATACTCGATACTGTCACTCGCCGATGACGTACCGCTTCAGAAGCATTTTTAAACTTCTGTGCCAATAGAGCGGAGCGTTACAATGTCGGCATAGACGGCTCCCAGAACGTTGTTTGACGTCAGATGATGGCAGCATCATAAAGTTAACGTTTATCGTCCAATGGTCAGTTACCGGATCACCATTCCAAGGCTCAACACTGTCGGTCACTTTCATATCGCCAGTCAGTTTCGTATTCTTCCTCTCACCACAAACACCCTCTTCAAGTCCTATAATGTGGTTTCAGTCGATTCAGATTCCCCTTTGAGGCGACTCTCAAACTCCCAAGTCTCCGCCTGCAATCCCCTCTCCACCAATGTCCACCCTCCGTCCCCCGCTTCCGCATTTCCCCGCGACTTTTCCGCTATTTCCTCCCGCTCCTACCCCACAAATCGTCGGCATCCCCCTCTCTTTCCCCACGTCGCCTCCCCTTCTTTGCACCCCTCGCTGTTTCCCCCTCGCTGTTTCCCCCTCGCTGTTTCCCCCTCGCTGTTTCCCCCTCGCTGTTTCCCCCTCGCTGTTTCCCCCTCGCTGTTTCCCCCTCGCTGTTTCCCCCTCGCTGTTTCCCCCTCGCTGTTTCCCCCTCGCTGTTTCCCCCTCGCTGTTTCCCCCTCGCTGTTTCCCCCTCCCTGTTTCCCCCTCGCTGTTTCCCCCTCGCTGTTTCCCCCTCCCTGTTTCCCCCTCGCTGTTTCCCCCTCGCTGTTTCCCCCTCCCTGTTTCCCCCTCGCTGTTTCCCCCTCCCTGTTTCCCCCTCCCTGTTTCCCCCTCGCTGTTTCCCCCTCGCTGTTTCCCCCTCCCTGTTTCCCCCTCGCTGTTTCCCCCTCCCTGTTTCCCCCTCCCTGTTTCCCCCTCCCTGTTTCCCCCTCGCTGTTTCCCCCTCCCTGTTTCCCCCTCGCTGTTTCCCCCTCGCTGTTTCCCCCTCCCTGTTTCCCCCTCCCTGTTTCCCCCTCCCTGTTTCCCCCTCCCTGTTTCCCCCTCCCTTTTTCAACCTCCCCATTCCCCGTCCCTGTTTCCTCCGCCCTGTTTCACCCTCCCCATTCCCCGTCCCTGTTCCCCCTTTATATCCCTCTCCATCTCCCTGCTCCCGTTTCCTCTTCCATTTCATCCTCGCCAGTCTCTCCCCCCTCCCTTCTCCCCTCCTCCCTTCTCCCCCCTCCCTTCTCCCCCCCTCCCTTCTCCCCTCCTCCCTTCTCCCCCCCTCCCTTCTCCCCTCCTCCCTTCTCCCCTCCTCCCTTCTCCCCCCCGCCCCGTCCCCTAACCATGGGGCGCAAGCGCGCAGCCCTCCCCCGGCTGCTCTCCTTGACCTCACTGTTCCCCTTCCTTCCCCTCTCCCCCTCCCCGTTCCCCCTCCCCTCCACTTCCCCTCCCTCCCCCCCCTCAACCCCGTCCCCTCACCATGCATCGCAAGCGCGCAGCCCTCCCCTGGCTGCTCTCCTTGGCCTCACTGTTCCCCTTCCTTCCCCTCTCCTCCTCCCTGTTGCCCCTCACCTCCCCCCTCCCCCTCCCCCCCCCTAGCCCCGTCCCCTCACCATGGGGCGCAAGCGCGCAGCCCTCCCCCGCCTGCTCTCCCCCAGTGGTTCCCCCCTGGGCTTTGGGGGCTTTGGGGGTGGAGTGGACGGGTCCAGCGCCACCCTCAAGATAGCCCTCCTTGGCCTCGCAGCGTGCCTCTTCTGCCTGCTTATCCTCGTTATAGTCGTCCTCTTTGCACTGGTAATTCGCCTTCTCCATTCTAAGCGCCCTCTTCGTTCGCCCTCTTTTCTCCTCCTTACCGAAGGTAAATGTTACCTTCGAGATGGCTCTGCTTGGACTCTCTGCCTGCCCTTTCTGCCTGTTCGTCCGCCTCAGTACAGTCGTCCTCTTTGCTGTAAGATGTCGTCCGCGTTATAGTCTTCCTTTTTGCTGTGATAGGTGGTCGTCCTCGTTGTAATCGCTTCCATCGATCTTCTAGGTAGCCCTAAGTAGCGGTTATCACCACGCTCCCTCTCCCACCACACTTCCAACACGCTCCCACCACACTCCCACCACGCTCCCACCACACTCCCACCACGCTCCCACCACACTCCCACCACGCTCCCACCACACTCCCACCACGCTCCCATCCCCCTCCCATCACACTCTTGTCCAACTCCCACCCCCACCACACTCTCATCGCACACCCCTCCATTCCCCCACACCCGTCCCTGTCCATCCTCCATTCCCCCCCTCCCATCTCTGCTGACTCCTCTCTCCCATTTCTGCCGACTCCTCTCTCCCATTTCTGCTGACTCCTCTCTCCCATTTCTGCCGACTCCTCTCTCCCATTTCTGCTGACTCCTCTCTCCCATTTCGTTCTACCAGCTCATCAACACGAGCCCCTCCTCTGTCACCCCTCCTGTCTCCCTTCTCCCCTCCCGCCCCTCCCTTGTCCCTCCTCCTCTTTCCCTTCACACCCTCCTCTGTCCCTCCTCCCCCTCCCCACTCCCATTTCTGCTGAATCCTTGCTCCCATTTCGTTCTGCCATCCAACTCATCATATTGAGGCGCCTCAAAACACTTACCCCGCACCCTCCCCTCCCCTCCCCTCTCCCTTCTCCCAATCTTCCCTCCCTTGCTGCCTCCCCCCCTCCTCTTTTTGCGCTCTGCCAGCTCATCAGCATGAGGTGGTCGTCTGCTGACGTGGCTGCCAGCCTGGCAGCACGAGAGTCACTGAGTGAGTGACAGGCCATTTGCAGTGCAGCCACGCCTTGAGAGTATGACGGGGAGTTGGCAGTGAGTGAGTGAGTTTGATTGAACAATGGGCACACTCACTCACTCGTGTGTGAGCAATGGACAACTCATTTCATCCCATGATTGAATGAATGACCGGTTGATCAAATGGCTGCCTGCCTCGTCCGCGCCATATCTGAGTCACGTTTGACAATTAAGAAAGGTGACTCAGATATAGCGCTTGAGCATGGGACAACAACTCATTTCATCCCATGTTTGAATGAATGACTGGTTGATCAAATGGCTGCCTGCCTCGCCTGCGCCCCAGAATAGACCCCTCTCAGCGTCCTCCCTCTCTTGCATCTATCTAATTTTGATCAAATGGCTGGCTGGACAACTCATCTTATTCCTTGATTGAATGAATGACTGAACCCCTCTCAGTGTCCTCCCTCCCTTGCACCTACCTATCTAATCTTGATCAAATGGCTGCGTGGAAAACTCGTCTCATCCCTTGATTGAACGAATGACTGAACCCCTCTCTCAGCATCCTCTCAGCAGCGTCCTCCCTCCCCTGACAATGCCTGGCCTGCGCCCCAGACTAAACCCCTCTCAGCATCCTCTCAGCATCCTCTCAGCATCCTTCCTCCCTTGCACCTGTCTGTTTTTTACACGCTTCAAGGCCGGCCCATTACACCAACCCCTGCCATTTCATTTTCATGACAATCTGTGATATCTCCGCATGTCCAACCCATGCTGTGTAGTTTTGAGGCGCCTCAAAAGTAAACCCCTGCCATTTCATGACGTTCAGTGAGATCTCTGCATGCCCAACCCATGCCGTGCCGTGCTATCTCCCCTGGTCCTTGGGCCTATGCTTGAGTGAGGGCCCTAGAAAACGGACGAGTACACTTACCCTGCCATCCCATTCCATCCCATTCCACTCCATGTCATTCCATGCCAATCCATGCCAATCCATGCCAATCCATCCCATTCCATCCCATTCCATGCCATGCCAATCCATGCCATTCCATCCCATTCCATCCCATTCCATGCCATGCCATGCCACTCCATGACATTCCATCCCATTCCGTGCATCTCTCGTCCTAACACCCCACACCACACTCCACCCCTCAGTTCTCTCTTCCTTGTCATTCCATGCGTGCAGTCCTTCCATTCCCGTCGCATCATCCCTTCTGTTCTTCCATTCCCGTCTCATCCCTCCCTTGTCTCACCACTCTTTTAGTTAAACCCAGTTATAATACTAACATAATGCTTTGGCACGAAGTTAATTAATATACAGGAGCCATTCCAACCATCCTGTTGTCCTTTTCTCCCCCCTTTCCCCACACGCACGCCCCGGCCTCCCGTTCCCCTCCTCCTCTCCCATCCTTGCAGGCCCTGAGGCGGTGAGAGGGAGGAAGGCTACAAGTGGGCAAGGCACGGGTATTTTCGAATCCATGGGTCCCCTTTTTCCCCCCCTTTCCCCCACGCACGCCCCGGCCTCCCGTTCCCCTCCTTCTCTTCTCTCCCACCCTTGCAGACCCTGAGGCGGTGAGAGGGAGGAAGGCGCATATTGGCACGATCAAGGATCCACCAGGCATGGTACGTGCTCCATCTCTCCACTCCCTACCCCACCCTCCTCATCTCCCATCTCTTTACTGAGAGGGAGGAAGGCGCATATTGGCATGATGAGGGATCAACCAGGCATGGTACGTGCTCCATCTCTCCACTCCCTACCCCACCCTCCTCATCTCCCATCTCTTTACTGAGAGGGAGGAAGGCGCATATTGGCATGATGAGGGATCAACCAGGCATGGTACGTGCTCCATCTCTCCACTCCCTATCCCACCCTCCTCATCTCCCATCTCTCTAATGAGAGGGAGGAAGGCGCATATTGGCATGATGAGGGATCAACCAGGCATGGTACGTGCTCCATCTCTCCACTCCCTACCCCACCCTCCTCATCTCCCATCTCTCTACTGAGAGGGAGGAAGGCGCATATTGGCATGATGAGGGATCAACCAGGCATGGTACGTGCTCCATCTCTCCACTCCCTACCCCACCCTCCTCATCTCCCATCTCTCTACTGAGAGGGAGGAAGGCGCATATTGGCATGATGAGGGATCAACCAGGCATGGTACGTGCTCCATCTCTCCACTCCCTACCCCACCCTCCTCATCTCCCATCTCTTTACTGAGAGGGAGGAAGGCGCATATTGGCATGATGAGGGATCAACCAGGCATGGTACGTGCTCCATCTCTCCACTCCCTACCCCACCCTCCTCATCTCCCATCTCTTTACTGAGAGGGAGGAAGGCGCATATTGGCATGATGAGGGATCAACCAGGCATGGTACGTGCTCCATCTCTCCACTCCCTACCCCACCCTCCTCATCTCCCATCTCTTTACTGAGAGGGAGGAAGGCGCATATTGGCATGATGAGGGATCAACCAGGCATGGTACGTGCTCCATCTCTCCACTCCCTACCCCACCCTCCTCATCTCCCATCTCTTTACTGAGAGGGAGGAAGGCGCATATTGGCATGATGAGGGATCAACCAGGCATGGTACGTGCTCCATCTCTCCACTCCCTACCCCTCCCTCCTCATCTCCCATCTCTTTACTGAGAGGGAGGAAGGCGCATATTGGCATGATGAGGGATCAACCAGGCATGGTACGTGCTCCATCTCTCCACTCCCTACCCCACCCTCCTCATCTCCCATCTCTCTACTGAGAGGGAGGAAGGCGCATATTGGCATGATGAGGGATCAACCAGGCATGGTACGTGCTCCATCTCTCCACTCCCTACCCCACCCTCCTCATCTCCCATCTCTCTACTGAGAGGGAGGAAGGCGCATATTGGCATGATGAGGGATCAACCAGGCATGGTACGTGCTCCATCTCTCCACTCCCTACCCCACCCTCCTCATCTCCCATCTCTTTACTGAGAGGGAGGAAGGCGCATATTGGCATGATGAGGGATCAACCAGGCATGGTACGTGCTCCATCTCTCCACTCCCTACCCCACCCTCCTCATCTCCCATCTCTTTACTGAGAGGGAGGAAGGCGCATATTGGCATGATGAGGGATCAACCAGGCATGGTACGTGCTCCATCTCTCCACTCCCTACCCCACCCTCCTCATCTCCCATCTCTTTACTGAGAGGGAGGAAGGCGCATATTGGCATGATGAGGGATCAACCAGGCATGGTACGTGCTCCATCTCTCCACTCCCTACCCCTCCCTCCTCATCTCCCATCTCTTTACTGAGAGGGAGGAAGGCGCATATTGGCATGATGAGGGATCAACCAGGCATGGTACGTGCTCCATCTCTCCACTCCCTACCCCACCCTCCTCATCTCCCATCTCTTTACTGAGAGGGAGGAAGGCGCATATTGGCATGATGAGGGATCCACCAGGCATGGTACGTGCTCCATCTCTCCACTCCCTACCCCACCCTCCTCATCTCCCATCTCTTTACTGAGAGGGAGGAAGGCGCATATTGGCATGATGAGGGATCAACCAGGCATGGTACGTGCTCCATCTCTCCACTCCCTACCCCACCCTCCTCATCTCCCATCTCTTTACTGAGAGGGAGGAAGGCACATATTGGCATGATGAGGGATCAACCAGGCATGGTACGTGCTCCATCTCTCCACTCCCTACCCCACCCTCCTCATCTCCCATCTCTTTACTGAGAGGGAGGAAGGCGCATATTGGCATGATGAGGGATCAACCAGGCATGGTACGTGCTCCATCTCTCCACTCCCTACTCCACCCTCCTCATCTCCCATCTCTTTACTGAGAGGGAGGAAGGCGCATATTGGCATGATAAGGGATCAACCAGGCATGGTACGTGCTCCATCTCTCCACTCCCTACCCCACCCTCCTCATCTCCCATCTCTTTACTGAGAGGGAGGAAGGCGCATATTGGCATGATGAGGGATCAACCAGGCATGGTACGTGCTCCATCTCTCCACTCCCTACCCCACCCTCCTCATCTCCCATCTCTTTACTGAGAGGGAGGAAGGCGCATATTGGCATGATGAGGGATCAACCAGGCATGGTACGTGCTCCATCTCTCCACTCCCTACCCCACCCTCCTCATCTCCCATCTCTTTACTGAGAGGGAGGGAGGCGCATATTGGCATGATGAGGGATCAACCACGCATGGTACGTGCTCCATCTCTCCACTCCCTACCCCACCCTCCTCATCTCCCATCTCTTTACTGAGAGGGAGGAAGGTGCATATTGGCACTGCAATTCCACTGCAATGCCACTGCTATGCCACTGCAATGCCGCTGCTATGCCACTGCTATGCCACTGCAATTCCACTGCTATGCCACTGCAATGCCATGCCACTGGTATGCCACTGCTATGCCACTGCAATGCCACTGCTATGCCACTGCAATGCCTCTGCAATGCCACTGCAATGCCACTGCAATGCCACTGCAATGCCACTGCAATGCCACTGCTATGCCACTGCAATGCCACTGCTATGCCACTGCTATGCCACTGCAATGCATATGCAATGCCTCTGCAATGCCACTGCAATGCCACTGCAATGCCACTGCTATGCCACTGCTATGCCACTGCTATGCCACTGCTATGCCACTGCTATGCCACTGCTATGCCACTGCTATGCCACTGCAATGCCTCTGCAATGCCTCTGCAATGCCGCTGCTATGCCACTGCTATGCCACTGCAATGCCACTGCTATGCCACTGCAATGCCATGCCACTGGTATGCCACTGCTATGCCACTGCAATGCCACTGCAATGCCACTGCAATGCCACTGCTATGCCACTGCTATGCCACTGCTATGCCACTGCTATGCCACTGCTATGCCACTGCTGTGCCACTGCTGTGCCACTGCTATGCCACTGCTATGCCACTGCAATGCCACTGCCATGCCACTGCAATGCCACTGCTATGCCACTGCAATGCCGCTGCTATGCCACTGCTATGCCACTGCAATACCACTGCTATGCCACTGCAATGCCATGCCACTGGTATGCCACTGCTATGCCACTGCAATGCCACTGCTATGCCACTGCAATGCCTCTGCAATGCCACTGCGATGCCACTGCAATGCCACTGCAATGCCACTGCAATGCCACTGCTATGCCACTGCAATGCCACTGCTATGCCACTGCTATGCCACTGCAATGCCTCTGCAATGCCTCTGCAATGCCACTGCAATGCCACTGCAATGCCACTGCTATGCCACTGCTATGCCACTGCTATGCCACTGCTATGCCACTGCTATGCCACTGCTATGCCACTGCAATGCCTCTGCAATGCCTCTGCAATGCCGCTGCTATGCCACTGCTATGCCACTGCAATGCCACTGCTATGCCACTGCAATGCCATGCCACTGGTATGCCACTGCTATGCCACTGCAATGCCACTGCAATGCCACTGCTATGCCACTGCTATGCCACTGCTATGCCACTGCTATGCCACTGCTATGCCACTGCTGTGCCACTGCTGTGCCACTGCTATGCCACTGCTATGCCACTGCAATGCCTCTGCAATGCCACTGCAATGCCACTGCAATGCCACTGCTATGCCACTGCTAGGTCACTGCTATGCCACTGCAATGCCACTGCTATGCCACTGCAATGCCTCTGCAATGCCACTGCGATGCCACTGCAATGCCTCTGCAATGCCACTGCAATGCCACTGCAATGCCACTGCTATGCCACTGCTGTGCCACTGCAATGCCTCTGCAATGCCACTGCAATGCCTCTGCAATGCCACTGCAATGCCACTGCAATGCCACTGCAATGCCACTGCAATGCCACTGCTGTGCCACTGCTGTGCCACTGCTATGCCTCTGCTGTGCCACTGCTGCTGCTGCCAGTGCGCGCTTTTCTCCCTCCCCTCATTGCTGAGCCAATGCTACAGCTGCTGCAACTGCCACTGTAATGCCACTGCTGTCAGTGACCCTTCTCCCCTCCCCAATTCGCCCTGCCCAATGCCTCTGATGCTGCGACTGCTGCGAGTTGCGACCACTGCGGCCAATGCCACTGCTGCTGCGACTGCTGCGAGTTGCGTTCACTGCGGCCAATGCCACTGCTGCTGCGACTGCTGCGAGTTGCGACCACTGCGGCCAATGCCACTGCTGCTGCGACCGCTGCGAGTTGCGTCCACTGCGGCCAATGCCACTGCTGCTGCGACTGCTGCGAGTTGCGTTCACTGCGGCCAATGCCACTGCTGCTGCGACTGCTGCGAGTTGCGACCACTGCGGCCAATGCCACTGCTGCTGCGACTGCTGCGAGTTGCGACCACTGCGGCCAATGCCACTGCTGCTGCGACTGCTGCGAGTTGCGTTCACTGCGGCCAATGCCACTGCTGCTGCGACTGCTGCGAGTTGCGACCACTGCGGCCAATGCCATGCCAAAATACACCCCATCCCTACTCTATCCTCCCAGCCCAATGCCACCACTGCCACTACTACTGCCACCACTGCTTCTACTACTGCCACCACTGCTACTACTACTGCCACCACTGCTGCCAGTGCCAATGCCACTGCTGCTGCAACTGCTGCAAGCAAGTTGCGACCACTGTTGCCAATGCCACTCTATACCCCCTCCCCACCCTGTCCGCCCAGCCCAATACCACCGCTGCTGCAGGCAGTAATAGGAACCCCAGCGAGAAGGCTAATAACGAGGGTGGTGCAGCTAATAGCGAGGATAAAGATCCAGCTGGTGCTGCTGACGAGGATGAGGATGATGATGACGAGGCGGGCGGCGGGGGCCTGTTGAGCCGGCGCAAGGAAAGTGCACGGAAGCTTCAGCAATGGAGAGAGTTTTTCATAGGGGTGGTGCTCGTGCTGCACTTTTCCAGGTGAGATGGGGGCATGGAGATGGGGGCATGGAGATGGGGGCATGGAGATGGGGGCATGGAGATGGGGGCATGGAGATGGGGGCATGGAGATGGGGGCATGGAGATGGGGGCATGGAGATGGGGGCATGGAGATGGGGGCATGGAGATGGGGGCATGGAGATGGGGGCATGGAGATGGGGGCATGGAGATGGGGGCATGGAGATGGGGGCATGGAGATGGGGGCATGGAGATGGGGGCATGGAGATGGGGGCATGGAGATGGGGGCATGGAGATGGGGGCATGGAGATGGGGGCATGGAGATGGGGGCATGGAGATGGGGGCATGGAGATGGGGGCATGGAGATGGGGGCATGGAGATGGGGGCATGGAGATGGGGGCATGGAGATGGGGGCATGGAGATGGGGGCATGGAGATGGGGGCATGGAGATGGGGGCATGGAGATGGGGGCATGGAGATGGGGGCATGGAGATGGGGGCATGGAGATGGGGGCATGGAGATGGGGGCATGGAGATGGGGGCATGGAGATGGGGGCATGGAGATGGGGGCATGGAGATGGGGGCATGGAGATGGGGGCATGGAGATGGGGGCATGGAGATGGGGGCATGGAGATGGGGGCATGGAGATGGGGGGTGGAGACGAGTGTTGGTGAGTCGACTCAGAAGACTTTGAGTCGACTCAGAAGACTTTTGAGTCGACTCAGAAGACTTTTGAGTCGACTCAGAAGCTTTTCAGAGGGGTGGTGCTCGTGCTGCACTTTTCCAGGTGAGTTGGGGTCGGGGAGATGAGTGTTGGTTAGAATGGGTGAGCTAGGTTGGGGATGGGCGATGGTTAGAATGGGTGAGTTAGGTTGGGGATGGGCGATGGTTAGAATGGGTGAGTTAGGTTGGGGATGGGCGATGGTTAGAATGGGTCAGTTAGTTTGGGGATGGGAGAATGAGTTCTAAGCCGCCTCGAGAGGGGTGGTTCTGGTGCTGCACGTTTCCTGGTCAGCTGGGATGGGGATGGGGATGGGGATAGCAGTGGGAATGGGTAAGTATGGATGGGGATGGGGAGAACAGTGAGAATGGGTAAGTAGGGATGGGGATGGGCGACAGTGAGAATGGGTGACAGGCAGTTAGGGCCGGGGATGGGGAAATGAGTGTTGGGGTTTGGGAGATGAGTTTTGAGGCACCTCGATAGGCGTGGTTCTGGTGCGGCACTTCTCCTGGTCCGCTGGGATGGGGATGGGGAGACGAGTGATGGGGGCGAGGAGATGTGCGCGCCGTGCCACTGACTGCTGGCCAGTGCGTGCATGGCAGACGCTGGAGTTCTGGCGCCATGTGTTGTGTATGGCTGCATAGTCTCATCCTCACATACTCTCTCTCTCTCTCTTCCCCGCTGCCTGCTCCTCTGCTACTCCTTCCGTCCATTGATACAGGCCAGTGCGCGCATGGCAGACACTGGAGTTCTGGTGCCGTGTATGCTTGTTCTCACTCTTTCTTCCCTACTGCCTGCTTCTCTTGTATTGCCCCTTCCCTCCTTCCCTCCTTCCCTCCTTCCCTCCTTCCCTCCTTCCCTCCTTCCCTCCTTCCTTCCGTCCATTGATACAGGCCAGTGCGCGCATGGCAGACACTGGAGTTCTGGCGCCATGTGTACGGCCGTGTATTCGACGATATGGTGACAGTGTCCACGGAAGCAATCCCCGAGCTGGGAGTCATTGCGGTATGCATGCCCAGCCACACGCACGCACCTACCCCCTGCCCACCCGCCCACCCTCCCATCCAATCCCTCCGCCTGTATTCGACGATCTGGTGACAGTGTCCACGGAAGCAATCCCTGAGCTGGGGGTCATTGCGGTATGCTCGCACGCACTCCCACCCACTCCCACTCCCCCGCACCCACTCCCATCCACTCCCACCCACCTGCACCCATTCCAACGTATTCCTTCCCACCACCCACTCCCTCCACCTGTGTTCAACGATCACGTGGCGCTGTCAACTGAAGCCATCCCCGAGCTGGGGGTCACTGTGGCATGCCCCCACCCACCCCCTCGTTCCACCACTGACCCACGCACCACCCACTCCCTCCGCCTGTGTTTGACGATACGGTGACAGTGTCAACTGAACCCGTCCCCAAGCTGGGGGTTATTGCGCTATGCCCCCACCCTCCCACCCTCCCACCCACCCACGCACTCCTACCGTGCGCTCTCAACCACTCTGCACTCCCAACCACTCCCCATTCCCCACTCCCCTTGCCCCCAGGCAACGAGCCCTCGTGCTGCCAACGCTGACGCCGCCCTCCCCACCGTCATGGAGCAACACGCCTCAGCCTCTCACTGCCTCGCTGCCTTCTCTGCCCCTCCCTCTTCTCTTCCATTCCCCACTCCCCCCAGGCCACAAGTTCCCCTGCTGCCAACGCGGACGCCTCTCTCTCTCCTACACCGCTCCTCCCACCATCATGGAGCAACGCGCCTCAGCCTCTGCCTTCCTTTGGTGTGCTATGAATGCATCTTTCCCACTCCCCACACCCGAGTTGGTTTTTGAGAATTCTCAAAAACCACATCACCCACACCCCTGCCCCCCAGGCTACACCCTCCGCTACTGCCAACGCGGACGCCTCTCTCTCCTACACCGCTCTTCCCACCATCATGCAGCAACACGCCTCAGCCTTGGGCTTCCTCTGGCTGGACGACGATGCAGTATTGAACTACTGGGCTGTTGCTGATACCCCTCTGGATAAGGTAGGTACTCTGATACTATTCACGCTAAGGAGCGGCTTTGCTGTGATACCAAACTCCCCTTCTCAGCCTCGGCCTTCCTCTGGCTGGACGACGACGCTGTATTGAACCACTGGGCTATTGCTGATTCCCCTCCGGATAAGGTAGGTACTTTGATACTAGTCACGCTAAGGAGCGGCTTTGCTGTGATACCAAACTCCCCTTCTCAGCCTCGGCCTTCCTCTGGCTGGACGACGACGCTGTATTGAACCACTGGGCTATTGCTGATTCCCGTCCGGATAAGGTAGGTACTTTGATACTAGTCACGCTAAGGAGCGGCTTTGCTGTGATACCAAACTCCCCTTCTCAGCCTCGGCCTTCCTCTGGCTGGACGACGACGCTGTATTGAACCACTGGGCTATTGCTGATTCCCCTCCGGATAAGGTAGGTACTTTGATACTAGTCACGCTAAGGAGCGGCTTTGCTGTGATACCAAACTCCCCTTCTCAGCCTCGGCCTTCCTTTGGCTGGACGACGACGCTGTATTGAACCACTGGGCTATTGCTGATTCCCCTCCGGATAAGGTAGGTACTCTGATACTAGTCACGCTAAGGAGCGGCTATGCTGTGATACCAAACTCCCCTTCTTAGCCTCGGGCTTCCTCTGCCTTCCTCTGGCTGGACGACGAAGCAGTATTGAACTACTGGGCCGTGGCTGATGGCCCGCTTGACAAGGTAGGGACTATTCACTCTAAGGGTTGCCTATGACTTCCTCTGGCTGGACGACGACGACGAAGCAGTATTGAACTACTGGGCCCTGGCTGATGCTCCTCTGGATAAGATAGGTACTCCCCCTCTCCTTCATAATGAGGTACTCACCTCAGCAACACGCATCAGCCGCGGGCTTCCTCTGGCTGGGCGACAACGCTGTATTGAACTACTGGGCCCTGGCTGATACCACCCTTAATAGGGTATCCCTTATCCCCTGCTGCTGCCATGCTGCTGCCTGCCACTCCCCTCCAACCCCCTCCACCCGTCTCCACCCCCTTCCACCGCCCTCCACCCCCCTCCACCCATGTACTCTCTCCACAGAAATTAACTGTATTTAAACACTTTCAACCCCAAACACTTCCTCACCCTGCTTATCCTCTTCATTGCCTCTTGCTCTGATACTATTAACCTACCCTCACATCTCCACCCCTCTCCGCACCCTACTTCACCCCCGCCCACCCCCCTCCACCCCTCTCCACCCCTCTCCATCCCCACACAGAACAAAATATGGTACCTAAACGCTTCCAACTCCAACCACCTCCTCACCCTCCCCCTCGACCAACCACCCTCCGCTCCCATCCGCACCGCTCTGGACCCCTCAGACCTCCTCACCCACATCTCCGCCTCGCTCTCGCACCTTTCTGAATCCCTCCGCGCCCAGCTGGACCGCTCTCTGTGGCCGCGCCACCACTCCTTCCCCCTCGCCGCCTGCCCCTCATCGGCCTTCTTCATCCCACAAAGACTGGTGGACTCCGCTGCTCTGCACGTCATCCCCGTATTCGCTGCCGAAACAATACCCGCACAGGTGAAGCCATACCCGCACAGGTGAAGCCATACCCGCACAGGTGAAGCCATACCCGCACAGGTGAAGCCATACCCGCACAGGTGAAGCCATACCCGCACAGGTGAAGCCATACCCGCACAGGTGAAGCCATACCCGCACAGGTGAAGCCATACCCGCACAGGTGAAGCCATACCCGCACAGGTGAAGCCATACCCGCACAGGTGAAGCCATACCCGCACAGGTGAAGCCATACCCGCACAGGTGAAGCCATACCCGCACAGGTGAAGCCATACCCGCACAGGTGAAGCCATACCCGCACAGGTGAAGCCATACCCGCACAGGTGAAGCCATACCCGCACAGGTGAAGCCATACCCGCACAGGTGAAGCCATACCCGCACAGGTGAAGCCATACCCGCACAGGTGAAGCCATACCCGCACAGGTGAAGCCATACCCGCACAGGTGAAGCCATACCCGCACAGGTGAAGCCATACCCGCACAGGTGAAGCCATACCCGCACAGGTGAAGCCATACCCGCACAGGTGAAGCCATACCCGCACAGGTGAAGCCATACCCGCACAGGTGAAGCCATACCCGCACAGGTGAGCCACCCGCACAGGTGAGCCACCCGCACAGGTGAGCCACCCGCACAGGTGAGCCACCCGCACAGGTGAGCGTGTGTTCCTTCCCATGGTGAGCGTGTGTTCCTTCCCATGGTGTGTCTCTAGGTGTGTGCTTGTGTGTGAGTCAACGGGTCGCCTGCCCCTCATCGGCTTTCTTCATCCCACAGAGGGTTGTCGACTCTGCTGCTCTGCACGGCATCCCCGTGTTTACCTCTGAGGCCATACCCGCACAGGTATGTCGCACGCATGTACCTTCTCACTGTGTGTGCGTGGCTGGTCGACTCTGCTGCTCTGCACGGCATCCCTGTCGTTGCTGCCGAGGCCCGCACAGGTTTGCTGCATGCATGTGTGTATTCTTTCCCGCGGTGTGTGCTTGCGTGTGTGAGCGCTCTTGGGTGGAAGCAGAGCAGAGGCTGGTCGACTCTGCTGCTCCGCACGGCATCCCCGTGTTGTTTACTTCTGAGGCCATACCCGCACAGGTATGCGGCATGTGTGTTGTGTATTCCACTGTACATCCATAACAGTACAGTATAGCCCCTTTATAGGCTACAAAACCACACGATAAAAGATTGGTTATGAGACGTCTCAAAACCAACCTTCACGTACAGCCGTTAATAAGCTACAGCTTTTACTAAGTTGACTTTTGAGTCGTCCCAAAAGTCAAACGAACCTTCTATCATGTGCAACCCTTAATCAGCTACAGATTTTACTAAGGGCGTATCTCAGTTCAGGTCATGGGTACTGTTGTGGTCATCCGAGATTCTTGGACGACCAATAAGGCGCATAACAGCTACACTACTGGAGTATCATTGGTCCTCCCATAACCCAAAGTGGGCTTAGATGACCCAAAGTGGCCTTATGATCCGAACTAAGATACGCCCTGATGCGGCATGCCAACTTCCTGTATTCCCCTGTCCACTGTGCCTCTCTGCATCCCCTCCGCCTTCCTCTCTCCCCTCCTCTCCCAGATGGTCATTCCTCTTATCCTCTTCACCCTCCAACATCCAAAACAGTACATTCCCCCAAGTACCCACTCCATGTGTGATGCACCCCCGTCTCTTCCCCTGTCCCCTGTGTCCCTCTGCGCTCTCCTTCTCTCTCCCTCCTGCGCTTTCCTGCTCTACCCCCCTCTCCCAGGTGGCAATTCCTCTTATTATCTTTACACTCGAGCATCCAAAACTGTACGAACCTCGCAGTTTCACCGATGCGCGAGTTATCAACCCCTCTCTCCTGCTCTCCCCTCTTCTCTCCTGCTCTCCCCTCCTCCCCCAGGTGGCAATTCCTCTTATTCTCTTCACACTTGAACATCCAAAACTGTACGACCCTCGCGGTTTTACCGATGCGCGAGTTATAAACCTCTTAAGTCAGCAAGCTAGCCAGGAAACCCAGCTACAGCTGCAGCAGCAAGGGCAGCAGGGACAAGGAAGCGGTGTGGGAATGTACACTACAGCAACTACACTTGTTTTTCCGTTAGATGTAACGAATCCGGAAGAGAGACACAAGCTTCTTCTTGCGATGCACTCAGGAGATTTTTTGCTTAGTGTGTCACACTCGGTATGATGTGCTTTGCGTGTATGAGAAGTTTCTATCGCAGTCCGCAATTATTGAAATCCCTTTGATACTGTCAAAGTTATATTGCATATGCTTGTTTAGCCTGTAGTGGGTTATCCCTTAGGGGTACAACACATCCCTCGATACCTAACTTGTACCCCTCCCTTGACCTAAGTCACTTCCTCTCTCATCCTTTCAACACGGTATTCGAGTAAGAAGTTCCTAGGGCCCACCATTCGTTCCGCCCTGCCCTACCCGTAATTTTTTTTCCCTGCCCTGCCCGGTGCTAGTGCGCGCCCTTCTGCCCCTTACTAGCGCGTGACCCGCTACCCAGCGCCACGCGCCACCCGCTGCCCCCCCCCCCCCCCCCCCCCCCCCCCCCCCCCCCCCCCCCCCCCCCACCTAACCGCGCGCGACCCGCTGCCCAGCGCCGCGTGCTACCCGCTGCCCCTCCCCTACTTGCGCGCGACCCGCTGCCCAGCGCTGCGCGCGACCCGCTGCCCTCCTGCCCGAGCCGCGCCGCTCTGCCCTGACGAAGCCGCGCCACCCTACTGCTCGGGCCGTTCCTGCTGCTACTGCTACTGCTGCTACTGCTACTATGGCGTCTCCTACAGTGCTTACCTTTGATGCTGAGGGCCAGCCGATACAGTTTGAGTCCTGGTTAGAGGACCTCCACTGGTACCTCCAGAGCGTAGCTCAGCACGACGTCTCCCTGTTAGGGCATACCTCGGGGACCCTCCTTGCCCCTGCTGACTCCCCTGCCGTTGCTGCCGAGGCCCGCACAGGTTTTCTGCACGCATGTGTGTATTCTTTCCCGCGGTGTGTGCTTGAGTGTTTGAGCGCTCTTGGGTGGAAGCAGAGCAAAGGCTGGTCGACTCTGCTGCTCTGCACGGCATCCCCGTGTTGTTTACTTCTGAGGCCATACCCGCACAGGTATGCGGCATGTGTGTTGTGCATTCCACTGTACATCCATAACAGTACAGTACAGCCCCTTTATAGGCTACAAAACCACATGATAAAAGATTGGTTATGAGACATCTCAAATCCAACCTTCACGTACAGCCATTAATAAGCTACAGCTTTTAACAAGTTGACTTTTGAGTCGACCCAAAAGTCAAACCAACCTTCTATCACGTGCAACCCTCTGCTGCTCCCCAGCCTCTGCTGCTCTAGGCCGTCTCGTACTGCCGTTCCTCTTTCCTGAGCTGTCTGACTTCACCACTGTCGCTGACCTCATTACTCACCTGCGCTCCCTAGACACGCGTTACCGTGCCGCTCTCGACTCCGAGTTTCTTGCTACAAACCAGCCCCCTATGTACCTCACTCTGTACTTCCTCACCACCTGCCTCCCTGACACCCTTCGAGCTGTTCGCGATCACTTTCTCGCTCTCGATCCCACCAAGATCACCCTGGACTCGTTAGAGACCCGCCTCTTAGAGGCTGAGTCCGCTGCCCTTGCTGTAGCTGCCTCTCGTGGCACTCCCCTCCCTTCTGTCTTCGAGGGGTGCTCCCCTTCCCTGCTCGCGCCGTCTGTCGCCTCCGCTGCTGCTGCTGACTTCCTTGGTGCTGAGGAGGTCGGTGCTACGTCTGATCCTAGTGGGAGGCGCCGCAGCGGCAAGGGCAAGGGGGGCAAGGGTGGCGGGGGTGGTGGTCGTGGTGGGGGTGGCGGGGGGGCGGCGGCGGCGGTGGTGGTGGTGGTGGTGGTGGTGGTGGTGGTGGTGGTGGTGGTGGTGGTGGTGGTGGTGGTGGTGGTGGTGGTGGTGTGGTGGTGGTGGTGGTGGTGGTGGTGGTGGTGGTGGTGGTGGTGGTGGGGGAGGAGGCAGTGGCGGCAGCAGTGGAGGCAGAGGGGGTGGTGGGAGCAGTGGGGGTAGTGGCGGGGGTGGGAGTGGCACTAGGGGTGGAGCTGGTGGGGGCGGAGCTGGA